CTGAACACGCCGCTCCAGAGCACCGGCGGCCCACCCGGGATCACCGAGGAGGCCAGGAGTCTGCTGTCTGACTCAGCACCACCAGAGATACTGAGAGTCGCGCCCCGCAGAGACTTTACAGTCTGGGTTTTGTCGGTTTTGCCCTCGAGCCAAATGAGACGGACTTTGTTGCGTTTGTCCTTCGAGGGCACGTTAGAGAAAAGATAGATTGTTGAACTGATCTGAAATCCATCCACAAACTCCACACTGCCTTCATGTTTGATCGCAGCATTGTCTAACTCTCCAAGAGAGGAAAATATCCCTCCATTCTGACCGTTATTGGTATTATAAACGTTCACCGTGTCTGATTCAATGGAGCATTTGGTCTTTGTGGATTTGTCTTCGTATTGCTGTATGGCAGCCAGAATGTAAGTGTCGGTCTTGGTCCGGGTCTCCACATTCACCAGAAAGCTGACGGACGCGCTGCTGTTCCATGGGGGCCCCACCTGGACGTGCTCCTTGTACCGCACATTAGAAATGTCCTTCAGGTCCAGCAGCTCGCAGTAACCGCACTCTTCGGTCATACCGCAGCTGATCAGACTGTCATCCTCAACAAACGGTAATAATATGTTGACACTGAAAGTTGCGTTCCACTTCTCCGTCTCAGAAACCCGGTCAAACTTCGAGTACTCCACCTGTTCCGCACCCTTTATGATTCCTCTCTGGGTCAGACTCCGGACCAGGGTCAGGTCGTGGTTCAGCTGGTACAGCTTCTCCTCTGTAGCGATGTAAACCGTGTTGTTGGACACAGCGAATTGGCGGATGTCTCCGTTAAATTCAAAGCCTCCGCCCTCTTCCAGGCACCGAGCCGGTTCTCCCCAGAGAATGAACAACAGACCAGGCAGCAGGATCATCTTCTAGCGGTGGCAGCAAAACGCTCACACATCGACAGTCTTCATGGCACTCTGCTCTCCTCCACAGAGTCACTGGAGTCGTGCGTAAAAGCGCAGTGCGCCTCTGTTGAAAGGAGGAGTGCTGAAAGTGGGAGGGAGCGAAAGCGAAAACTAACAGACGGTTTCATTCGTTCTCAGATGTGTTCCGCACTTTAACCATGTTTAAAACAAAGTCTATACAGTTTTAGAATAACCACAGAACCTGCATGCAGTGATGTGTGTGTGCGCTCCTGAACAAACTCCAGAGGATGACAGTCTGTCTCCCTACTTCCCTCAACAAATTGGACATTGGACCGTACATGGTGTGAAGTGGGTTGATATGATGATCTTTACACGGTGTAATGCGCTTCAATACTTGTTTTATCTCGTGGTGAAGCAGAGGGGATGTCCACTGACCCCTCCACTCCAACATTATCAGGTGAGCAGCATTTCCAACTGCATCATGCATCGTTGTACATGTTCAAACTACAGTACAGTAAAGATGATATCCAGTGACTCCTGGATGACATCTAGTGTCAGCTTTGAGAAGTTCTTCTAGTCGTCATTGGGAAAACAAACCACTCCATCACTCACTCTTCCCCTTAAACAAAACCACGAAAGACACTATTCTGGACTTACAAGCATAGATGGACAGTTGTACTGAGACATCAGTCAACAAACAGCTCAGCAACAACTGGTAATGTTTATGGCCCAAACAGATGACCCATCCTTTTTTCATATTTCTTCCCCCTCCATCTCAAACACTTCCAGTGGCTCAGTCATAATAGGAGTCAAGGTATGGACCCACCAAACTAACATTTCAAGCACAGTAGTGAAACAGTAGGGTAAACACAGACGTTACCATTGATACTAATTAAGGTTCTGTTGCATTCAGGTCAAACAGAGTCAGGGTGCTGCTGTTGTCCATGTTGGCTCACTGGAAAGGCTCTGCTACACTAAATGGAACAGAACCTTAATTAGTATTATTGGCAACACCTGTGATTACCCTACTAGTAACCTGTTAGGAATACGACATAAACAAAATCACAATTCAAATAAAAGCCCACACTAATAAAAATGTCCCACCACAAACCATAGGACCATCTAAAGGTAGTCAACTCCCAGCACCCCAACCACACCAGTGACTGGAGGCCACCACCAGCCTCAGCACTAGAAACAGAGAGAAGAGATTAAAACCCTGAACTATACAAAATCAATTCTACACACAAACAATAAAAACATAAACATGGACTAATGATGAATTAATACTTCAATAAATGCCAGTCAGTGTTCTGACTGTAAAGAAAACAGAGCACCTCTCCACATTTTCTGTGAGCTAAAGATTAAAGTAAAGCTAAATTAAAACATTACCTCTGCAGCTGCTGACAGTCATTTCCTTTCAGCTTTTCTACGTACAGTAAAAGTTATGGCAGACCCACAGTGTTATTATTAAAATACCTCAGAGTGCTTGCACCCCTACCAAAACATCACAATACTACTGAATGTATAACAGTTACTGAAACAAACATGATTGTCTTACCAGAGCCACAAGTGAATAGTCTCAGGCACAAAGCACCAAAGTGTGAGCCTACGTATTACCTGATTGGCTACATCCCCTGAATGGATCCCAGTGTTCCTGTGCTACACAGCTATTCAATTCTATCTCGAGGATCCACTCCATGGTGCCCCCAGAACACTTCTGCAACCACCAGATGGCGCTGAGAGACCCTGAGTGTTGGCTCACTGGAAAGGCTCTGCTACACTAACTGGAACATGATTGGCTGATTGACTGCATGGGTCCTAGTGTTCTTGAGTTACACAGCAATTCAATTCTATCTCAAAGAGCCACTGCATCATGGCCCCTGGAGCACTTCTACATAAACCCAGCACCATATGGTGCTTTAACACAGCTCTCCTCAGAGAGTTGGACACTTACGTATTAAGTAAGAGTATTAAGTAATAAATGAAGTCATCACCAGCTCTTCTGTGGGAAACAGGAATGGCAGTATTTAGAGGAAAAATCATTTCTTTCTCCTTTCAGTGACAAAAGTAAAGGAACAAGAAGCTGAACTGGAACAAAGAATAAAAACTACTCGAATGAATTAGGAAAATATACATTTTTCATTGAAAATAAATGATGAACTCCTGATATACAGACTTTAACAACAACTTGTAAGATTATGTCGAACATATTTTGAACATACCTAGTATTAGAAAGCTGGTTGTAGGCCTCCCTGTTGTGGTTGAACTGACACATTGAGAGATATGAAGCTAGCAGCTAGCTCAGTTCTTTGATGAAAAGTTGCTTCATGTTGTACTTACTCCAGTTTGTGCGTTCCTGTGGACACAGCATGTCTTTCACAGGTTGCTTGTTGCTATCATGGAGGTCTGGCTGTTTTCTTGCAGTAGTTTGATGTTCTGTTTTCCATTCATTGTAATTCATTTAGAGGCAGAAGTTTGTTAGCACCGACCTGTCGGCTTTCTTTGATCTGTGAGCAGTGATGTGACGCAGTTTTTATTTCTTCACTTGCTCGATGTTTCAGCTCGTTTGTTGTTCGTTTTTAATCCTTTTAAAGTTACATTGTAGCACTGGTAAATATTTCTATTTCACATTTGTTCCAAGAAGTCGTACTTTAATTATTTGTACTATATGGGTGGTTATTTATGTTCATTGTCTACATACAGCAGCCTCTATCTGCCTGTACAGTCATTAAAAAAGAAGCTATTAAGCCATTCTCCTATCTGGACTCTCTAACTGGATTCACATCTAACCTATCTATCATTTTAAAGACACACATTTTTACTTAAACCAAACCACCTTACAACTGACCATCAATCAAATGCCACTGTTGAAGTTTCTTAATGTATAAATTATCTGGAGAAAGTTTGACTGCAGTTAAAATTGTTCGATACAATAAAACCATCAAGTCGTCTTGTGTTGTAGTTGAGGAACCCAAGTCTCATTTGTTGTATCTAATACATGTAAAATCTTAATTTTGTTAGTGCGTTAACCTTTTGATGCACCCAAGCACATTTTTGTGTTTTTGACTTTAAATTTCTAGCATATTTGATCCCTTTTTCATGCATATTGATGATGAATCATGCAAGGTTGTGCCAATTCTTTTCATGTATTTTTTATTTTTAGCCTACTGTAAGGAGTTCCGCCTGCTAACTTCTGTTATGAATTGGTGCTATACAAATAAAATTGAATTGAATTTAATTTAATTGAATTAAACAACGTGGACTGAAATAGACCTGTTAACGTCCCTTCGCTCAAAAATATGTAGATTGAAAACCATTCAAATCACTATTTTTGATTACCTTCCCGATGGTGATGATGAAAAAAATAAGTACAAAAAAACAAAAAATAATAATATATAACATTTTTATAGCTTGATTAACGTGATTATTTGACATTGATCAAAATATATATATATATAATGCATATAAATAAACGTTGCTGCTAATCTTTCACATATACCAGGCTGCAATATTCAAACCATCAATAATCCAGTTTGCATGAAGTATATTGGAAATAAATCATTTTTTATGTGTTTTAGACCATGAAAACTTCAGCTGTTTTGGGTGTGTGCTGTGGTGGTGAGATTTTGCAGCACATCAGCCGTACACACTGTGCTGATTACAGTAAGGAAGAGTAGGCTATGTAAGCTATGGTGAAGGTCTTCTCTCCTGTGAGGGTCCCCGTGGCTCCCAGAATATCTGCCAAATGGCTGAGATGCTGAACAGCACTCAGTCTCACTGCAGCTCTATGGTAGCTGGCTCAGGCCTAAATTCAGCAGGGTTTTCATTATATAACCGGGCTGCAGTTCAGCACCGTGTCTTTGGCCAGACTGGCCTGCTGCTGGATGAAGCTGTTGGACAAAGACACTAGCTGTGTCATTAGAAAGGATTCAAACTGTTTGACACTTTGACTCAGTAGAAAAACGACTTTATTACAAAACTTAAATTTCACTCTGATATATTGACTATTAATCTATATACTATATATTAAGCAGCCTGTTAGCTTAGCTTAGCATAAAGAATGGAAACAGATACAACTAGCCTGGTTCTGCTGGTAACAAAATCCACTTACCAACGCCTCTAAAGCTTCTTTGTACCTTTATGTTTCATTACTACAACAATGAAATGAACAAACACACAGGATCTATTAACAGTAACAGAGGAGGGACCAATAACAATATAATTACCATAAAAACAGTAATCGTAATAAGATACAATAACTGAGACAACGTTCAGAGATACTTGCAGCATACTGTACAATCTCAGAACTAAACACTGCAGAAGTCCTCTTACACTCACTGTATGCTTAAGATTTTTTACATAATATTGAGACCAAAGAGAGAACTTTACTCCAGTGACCCACAGGTGAACAATTGGGTCTCAGTGCAGAAAATGAACCTGAGGCATTATGTCCATCTTGATAAAGGAGTTGGCCATAGTTTTCCAGGTTTGACCTAATGGTCAGATCTTGTTCATCTCAGCAGTGAGCTTCTTTTGCCATCGACAGATAATCACCAACACTGAAAGACAAACAGTTATTGATTTAAACTGAACAGACAGACAAACAGAACTCAATCCATAAATTGTTCATTAAAAAGGTCAAAATTCATTCTAGTTCAGGTTTTCACACAAACAGCCTTTGATTGCATTGATGCAATACATACAGATTTCACTGTACATATCAGAGAGCGACGACACTGACTGGACTGAAATCCAGTCAACTTAGTGTACTTACCAACAGGAATACAGGGCATCAGCAGAATGCGCAGTATCAGAAGGATCTGATGTAATAAAGATGGAGGCCCTAGTCTCACCGTCTTGTCACCATATTTTATCTGTAAAACAAATACAACACTGCTATTAAAACAGGAATTTTACAGTGGGACATCTCACCAGAACACTGGGTCAAAAATATTCTGAGGGCTTGGTGCTATGACCCACCTTCATCCTGCCTACAATCTCAATAAACTAAGTTGTATTTGTGTATTGTATTGTCTAGATTGGTGAAGATGAAATAAAAGATTTACTGTTAAGTGCTGAAACTCAGCGTCAGGTGTCCCTTGAATCTCACAGATAAAGAAGTCAGTCTCGTTACTGGTTTCTTTGGCTTCCATGATGCAGGGGAATTGTTCACCTTCCTGAACGCCCCACACTGACAACTCTCCCAATGTCATCTCCAGTTTGTCTGTCTTTTTCTGCAATAACAGAAACACATACTGATGTTTTATGCATTCATGTTCTATTTTTGTGTATCTGTGATAAAAGTATACATTACCTCTATGGTGATGCGCACATCGTCTCCTGTCCTTGTAGATGTGAAGCTGGTGAACTCAGGGTCTGGGTAGTAGGTTATTGTTGTGGAGCAGGCCAATGTTTCATTGGCTACTTTCAGAAACACACTGCTTGTAAAACTCCCTCGATAATTTCCAGCTGCCGGTGTGTCATAGATCAGATTCTGCAATAAATAAAAAGTCGACAGGGTGGCTTTTATTGCTAAACAACTCTTCTACATGCAGTCGGTGATGTGGGTTAGGGCCAACTTTTTCTACTGTTCCTGCTGTTGTTGCTGTGTGGGAAATAGCTTCTTTATTAAAACAACATGCATTTCTTTAGCTGCACTCTAAAATAATACACCAGCCACTTTTCTGTTGCATTTCTGACAAATTAGCTGCTCAAGGAGTGTTTGCTGTAGTATAAACCACACTCGCTGTTACCAGCAGTAACCATGAGTGACATAAACAAAAACAAATCCAAGGACATAAAGTGAAAAACAACAAATATTGTTACATATAGTTGCTTTTTACGAGTGCATTTACTGTGTCATAATTCAATTAAAATCACATGTTAAAAGGATAATTGTTTAGACTTTTGTTTTTAATAACTGAATGAATTGTTTTTCATTGTGACATGAATTGTGCTTGCTGTCTGTCATGGCTTCCATAAGCTCTGCCAGTGACGATAAGGTCTGTCAGTACCCGATCCCTACCTCCTGCCCAACTGGCACCCCACATGTGCACCTCTCAACAGAGATGAAAAGGAAACAAGATGGTTCACTCACTATCTACTTAAATCATAAGCTCCGGAATAAATCATGCATCCGTATTCGTGCATTATCTTATTTTTGAATGTAAAAAAGTAGTATTAATAACAAACCTTGGCACCACCATTGTTAACATTACCTAAGTAATTTGAAAACTGAGCATTTGTAAATATGGCCCATGTATGTCTCACACATGCTTATAGGTGCGTGTACATAAAAGTCACTGTGTGTGTGTCTATGTGTGTGTGTGTGTGTGTGTGTGTGTGTATAGAGAGAGACCCACCTGATAGGTCTTGTTTCTGGGAGGTCTGACTTCCTGCAGGGCGAGGCTGTGCACAACCCCTTCCACAAACTCCAGGTGGGATCCAGTGAGTGTGATCCTCCTCTTCCCACTACAGGACACAGAGCAGCAGAGGACTTTTCATACTGACACACATCTACAGTAAGTTGCACAAGTAAATCTAACAATGGTAAAAGCACATCATTTTAGTTTGATCAAAGTCAAACAGCCCAGTAGCAGCTGGAATATCTCGATGAGATCAGATGTCACAGTGTAGTTTGGCAGTTAGGAGAGAAACTGACTCCCTGATGTTTTATCTTCATCTGTTTCTGTCTGTGTGGCAATAATAAGTACCAACATATCCAGTCATACCTGATCCAGGTGCTGCTGGGTGTGATGTTGGTGCAGGAAGGTAAGGACCGGTAGGTGATTTTAGCGTTGCCATGGCAACTACCATCTGGGAGCACAGCACATACTTTGACCACGCCTTTCATATCGGCGGGGGGAATGTGGAACGTCAGATTCATACCCGAGTTGTACCACACAGGAGATCTGAGCAGAGCACACAGGACGACAGAGAGAGAGAAACCAGTTAGTCTCACTGAGATCAAGACTCGCCTTCTGGTGATGTCTCAAACTATTTATGAGAAGAACACAATCCGTCTCACTGCCCCACAACCTGCTGCTCCTGAACTGGAACTACAAAATGAGCGAATGGACTCAAATTTCAGTTTTACTAATTGTATTTATTTTTTATTTATTTTCTTTATAAGACTTTGGAGAGTTCTCTCCTCGTCTTTTAAAAAAAATAATGTTGAAAAGTTATCTTTTGCAGAATATAATGAAATATATGCTTAAAGGCATTTAAATGAAGTTTTGTGTTGGCATTATTCTCAGCGATGGAGGAAGTCCTCAGATCTTTTATTAGGGTAAAGGTAGCAAAACCACAGTGTAAAAAACACTCTGTGTAGTAAACTCCTGCATTCAAAATCTACAAAAAGTAAAAGTACAAAAGTAGCATGAAAATACTAACACCTTTGCTTCACTCTCCCCTTCTAAACACAAAGGACAAACCGTGAGATGTGCAAAAGAGGTGAACGGCCCTATCAAGAGCCAGTGTTTGGTTTGTCCTTCCTGGGCTACTGTAGGCGAACCACAGCATCAGTGGGCATAAAATGCTCATTCCAAGGTAACAAAAGCATAACGATTCTTATTTTCAGGTGATTACACACAGTTGAAAACTTAAAATATCATAATAGAGCTTCCTAAATGTTACACACTGGCCCTTTAAAACGGGCCAATTCAAGAATAATACATATTACATTACTGTATAATAATTATTGATGCATTAATGTGTTTTATTTTCATTTTTACTGCTAACAACCTTCAGGTTATAACCTGATGAGGGTCTGTGTATATACAGGTTTTGACTGCAAGAGAAGAGGACAGTGTGCTGGGGGTCCTTTGTTCTGAATTGTCCACAAATGGTCTTCCAGGGTTCCCACTCTTATTAAAAAATAATTTTCCAGGACCTATCCAGGACATTTTCTAGAGAGTCACAAACAGTCATATAATTTACCAGCTGCGGTAGGCCTAGTATTGATAAATTTAATTTCAGTTTTTATTGCCTTTAATCAATAGTAACAGCTGAAGACTGACAGGAAATGACACACAGCAAGGGCCACATGTATTTGGTCATTTTAATCAATTTCCAGGTGTTTCCATGACTGGAAAACTAGTCTCTAGGGTTCCAGATTTTTTCAGGTTTTGCTAGGACACGTTGGAACCCTGCACCTGTCGCTCGACAGGTGTGCAAAAGTTTTTGAAAATTAAAAATATTAAACATGAAATGGAAAATATAATTATTGTAATGGGATTGTTATGGGTAATGTAAATACAAACAACCTGTAAATAGACTCACTCTTTTGGGGTGCAATCCTCAGCCTGGAGCCTCACTCTGGTCACATCACTGAGGTTAGAACCTGACAACATCGCACGGTTTCTGCCGTAAAAAGACACAACGCTGGGAGTGATGGAGGAGATCTCTGGCCTCTGAAAGTAAAACACACACACAATTTATTCTCATCCATAACTGTGAATGGGGTGTGAAGTTCAGAGGGAGAGTGTGTGTGTAAGAAGAGCTTCAGACTCACAGAAAACTTCATCCCTGACTCCATCATTTGGCAAACACTGTCCTGCAAGAAGAGATGAAGAGGAGAAATTTAGCAGGTTAACCTAACAGCCACTGTAAAGGTACAATATAATGACTGTACTTATGTTCTTTTATGAGGTTAATTAAAGGAATAGACCGACAATTTGGGAAATACACATGCACATATGTACTTATAACTGAAGAAGTTAGATGAGAAGATAAACATTTCATTTCATTAAACATTTGAGGCAAGAAATAGGCAATGTAGTAACACTCATATCGTGAACGGTAGAAATTGACTAGGATCCGTCGACTCTCTTTAGCTCTATTTTGCTCTCAACCATCACCGCTAATATGTTAAGCTAGAGGCGATCTGTGTCTGTCTGTTGTTTGCTCTTGGGCAAGTAGTATAGAATTTATCAGAAGGTTTTTTCTGAAAACTGCTGCTGCTGAAAGCAAGGCTCATTGGAGACAATCAGAACAGGAAATCTGAGGGCTGTAAAAACAACCAATGACTTAATAGCAGCTCTAACAGATAAAGTAAATTCATACATTAGTGAAGTTATAGGCACAATAAATATTTGTTTATTTTAACCTCTCAAAGGAATGATTAAGGATAATTAGCTGGATATAGCTGAATCAACTAAATAGTCTGAGTAAGTTTTGTCTAGTAAGTCTAGTCTATTTTCACTAATGTCTCTTAATTAATGTGGTGACTGTATTGATGTTCCAATGTAGCATGTTTAAATTGAGCATACGCGTATAGAGCGTGGAGAAGCCTAGCTTAGATGATGAATAGATAATTACTTTGATAACTCCTTCAGTCGCCCAGGAACAGCCGTTAGTGCTCCAGCCACATCCAGCCTCGATACACTGCTGACACCTGAAGAGAAAATTAATGGAACTCTTGTTGATGCTTTAACATCTTAAACGTATTGGGTATTATTTCTCTACAGTAAATAGATGTCTATAAACTGGTAGTGGACTTACAGGACAGAGGTTGGTGGTCCCCTGATGTCTGTACAGCTGGTAAGCTTCAGTTGTTCCAACAGCTGTGTCGTCCCAAGTCTAATTGTTACAGTGACCGCCAGGCCTGACATGCAAATAGTACAATGAACATTACAGTAAAAAAAGTTCTACGACATATCTTTCAGCAGTACATGTTTGGATGCAATGTAACAATATATACCGTGAGACATCACAGTTGGTCAGCTTGTCGAGATTTTTCCATCTCTAGCGTACTCTGCACCAGACCTTCCATTAATATTTCTGGTTGTATTGTGCTATTGTTGGCAATGATACAAATCACTGCTTTGTGGAAATGTTGAATTTGCCCCTGTGATAATGCCAGTCTCCTCTGGCCATGTGGCAAACCATTCAAATCTGACTCGCCTTTCCAAGTTTGCCATCCATATGTTTAGTTTTGCGCTAACTAGCTGAACCGTTTTTAGCAGAAGTTATCTAGAAATGTTAAGCTATTGATGCTTTTTCTCCTTTTGTTGGCAAACACCTGTTTGTCTTCTACTCGACTCTTACAAAGATTAATCATTTCAAATGAAGTCAAACAGAACTGCAGTAAATGTTGCAATAAGTGGTAGCGCCTCAAATGAAAATGGGTTGTCCCTAAAGTTACTGGGATTTGTATTCCTTTTTAAACTGGTTCTTCTCTCTTGTGTTTGACTTTCACTGAAGATCACTTTAGTACCAGGGTTAACACTTAGAAGATGGTGTGACGTGCAGTATTGGAGTGAAACTGATCAAATATTCTTTGGAAATTCAAAAGTCACTGACCTTCAGCAGGAAGTGTGCTATCAGAAAGGATACAGGTGCATTGTGGGAACTGCGGAGGAGGGCTTTCCGTGCTACAAAGCTCACGGGAACTTGTGGAGAAATGACAGGCGAAGTTAGACAGCGTCTTCTGGCCCACAGTCAAGTGTGTCTTGATGTTAAGTTTGATCTGAGAAAGGAAGTGTTGTGAGAGAAATTAGTGACAGTCACAACTGATTGTAGTTAGAAGCTTGTATATAATCCGTACCTGTCTCACATGTCATTTATAAGAGCAGCTTTTTAGTCATCATCATCATTGCATTATGACTGGTTTCATTTGAACTGGAGTAGAATACAGCTGACCCCTGATGTGGAGACAGCCTGGACTGGGCTTTCTTTAATAACGGTTTTATACCAATAATAAATACACGTGCCCCGTTCAGGAGATAAAGAGTAAAAGGGTGTGATGACCTATGGTCACCCTGGACTACCTGTCTAGCCGATACTTTTCATGGGTGTAAGCAGGTTCTACCACTAAGTGGCTTTTTCAGACGACTAAGAACCAAATGCTCCTCTTTTATCAATAAAGCCAAATCAGAATATTATTTGTCTAAATGATTCAGATTTTTTTGGAAAGCCATAAATCCCTTTCTGTGAGCTGTAACTCTCAAGCTGCAACTACCTGTTATCAATGATTCTGTTGCTGTTCATGACAAAATAAAGATGTAGTCATCATTTGTTTTAATGAGCATTTCATATCTTTTAGCTCTCTGTATGACGAGCTCTGTGAAACTTGTCCAGTGTATACTGATCAGTCTTTTAACAACATACCTCTCTCTGAGCAGGAAGTTCAAAAAGCCTTAAAAGTTCTACCCTCAGGACCTGATTTGATTTAACTGTACTGAAACTGGTAGCTGATTTTGTAGCAGAGCCTCTAGGATACATTTTTAACCTTCCAGTGCAAAATAATGAAACACCAAGGATATGGAAATCTGCTTTTGTTCTCCTTTTATTTAAATGGTGTACAGGCCAATATCTAAATTACCAGGACTGGGTAAAATGATCTAAGATTAGTTTTTATACACCAATGTCCTTTTATCAACATATCAATCAGATTTCAGAAAAGAACATAGCACTATCACAGCTGCACTGACGGTGGTGAATGACACTTCCGTTGCACTTGACAGGCAGTAACATTGTGCAACACTCCAAAGCTCACGACACAGTTGACCATTATGTTTTAAACCTTACGCTTAACTCATGACTGTGGGAGCATGCACTCGCTTGGTTCTCAAACTATACTAGTGAAAGGTCTCAGTGCATTAAATATGATGGTCTATGTTCTGGTGCATCCATCTGCAGGGATGTCCCACAGGGATCGGTATTAGGTTCACTTTTATTCTCCATTTTTATAAATAATCTGGGTGAAAACATGTCACATACTAATTCTGTCATACACTGCTGTGTGGAAACTCTTGTGCAGGCTATTAAATACTTGCAAAATCCTTTTATTATTGTCCAAAATACCCTACCCGTCTTCAGTTGTCTGTATATATATATATTATCTTTTATATATGTGCAAGATGCATATGCGTCTTATCATGATTCCTTGTGGTTCATTTAGGCTGTGAATTGCATTAGCAAGGTTTTACATTGCTAATCCTTTATATATAAGGCAATTCTTGGCATGCCCCCATGCTACTTTTATGTCTTTATCACACATAAAACTACAGCACAGTACTCTCAATCTTAGGAAATCCTTAATCTGTCTGTCCTAAATGCCCGTCCCGAAATTAGAAAAAAGGGTATTTGTGTATTCTGCACCCTCTGCAAATTACATAATTAATCCTGTTACGTGATTTTAAATCCAAAATGAAGTAATTATAGGCAAATTCCATAGGATGTCAATGTTTTTAATCAATCTAATTGAAATGTCTCTTTTTGAAATGCTGTTTATTTTGTCTTCTTTTATGTTTTATGTGTGTCTTCCTTGAAAAAGAGACTCTTAATCCCAATCTTCTGGTTAAATAAAGGTTAAATACAAATAAAATACCTGCCCAGTGCTGTCCTTTAGAACTTTGTATGAAACCATTTTCTGTTGAGAATCATCAGGAATGGAGAACCAGTCTGAATCTTGGCATTCGTCTTCAAATGTGCAACTAGGAAGAGAAAAGGATGTTTTAACCAAGTTTATAATTGTTAGAAGGTGTCAGCTGCAGATGTTGTTTCCCTGACCTTCTTTTAGAGCCGCACCAGACACAGTATGGATCTTGTGCAGACCAACAGTCCTGCACATTTCTGTATGTGCTGCACTTTGACACAGGTACACGCTTCATCTGGAACAAAACACAAACATTCAACAACACCAAGTATGGCTTACATAGGCCATTGTAAATTTAAAATCCTCAAGTATGTTTAAATATGTACAAAGAATCTACCTGGTTTTTAAATGGCACGTACACATGTTTATGATCCACCTGGTCCAGCTGCATTTTGGGAAACACTTGGCGGTCGTCATTGGCCCTGTAGAGCACTCTGGGACAGGTGGTGTGATAGTCCTTGTCCACAGCAAGCTGACAACAAGAAAGTACATTTGTTATTTTCTCTGAGACAGTTGCTGAGTTTGTTTTAGGTGCAAGGCAAAACTCAAATGGAAAGAAAGGATTATGGAAATACAAGTACAAATGCCCCACTGATATTCTGATTTTAAAAGGTCATCAGCTTACACACAATGAGCTTCAGGCTATTTACTTAAGGAATAAAAAAAGTCTTTGGCTTTTCCCAACCACTGAAAAATTCTGCCTATGCATGAAGAAGCGTGAATTAATTCATGTAGTACTTCGTTTCATGCCACCATTGCATGCATGAAATTCACGATAAGTCATGTACCCTTCCATAAAATGATACCACAGATTATCAACATCTGATTAACATCTGTTCCAGGAAACAGCTATATTTCTTGTCACATTTTCAATCTTGTGATGAGTCTGTAAAAGTACTATTACAATCAGATAATGATACAAAACCTACTACCAGAATCTTTTGACTATAATATACATTCACTGTATGCTTGAGTGGTGGTTGTATAAACACTTTAATCTTCACAGCAGCTGTTGCTGTTTGAAAAACAACATAAAAATGTCAAAGGGATGCACCACTGATTTAATCAGAATTCAGGTCTGACCCTCTCCAGCTCACAAATCTAGCAAACAGTTCTGATACAGAACTGAATTAAAGAAAACCTCTCTGTTATCCAGTTTTTTTTTTCACCCTCATTAATACACGATGACCATAAAACTTCTATTAAAAGCAGGGTCCAAACCAGACTCAGGTCCCCTTTACTAGCCCAATGTGGTTTGGACAAATAAAGACAGTCTCAATCAGAGGCCTGGTCTGAAATTTAAAGAAATTCTTTGGATGTATAAAACCTCTTAAAGCCCACTGGGTTGCCTGCTTGAGCGAGTTTTAAGCTGCTTAGTTCACCTACACAAATATAAATTACATTGGTGTCAATATGGACATGCTCCACATCGTCAGATTCAACCGCTCAGTTCCAGTTGCCTATTCCAAGGCATGGTGGCTAAATGATTATTCTTATGATTATACTGTAAAATAGGTGTTGCCAGAGTAGGTCATAAATAGGGGCAGATTCAGGAGGTTGTGGTTTAATTCCCTTTGTGTGGGCATTTATTCAAGTGCTTCCAAAAACGTGAAAAACAACAAACCAACAACTAAAAATATTTACAAAAACTGAGGAAAAATCAACTCGATTCAAATTAACAGCACTTGTCTAAGCTGCAATCTCTCTCTACTCCCCTGGCTTCCCCAAGAGAACTGATCCTTATACATTTCTTACCTGTCTCAAGACTAGACGTGGATTAAACCATCCTCACTTAAGGTGGTATTATTTACATATATCTTTTATCAAGACACAAGCTTCAATAAACATCATTACCCATAATACAAATCAAATTTCCTATGGCGTTTGAATGTAACACCAACTCAATACTCCCCACCATTCCTTAAATGAGAACTAAACAGAATTAAATATTAAACTTATTCCTGTTAACTTTTTTTTAATTGTTATTATTTTTTTTTTATTAAACAATTTAAATGTACAAAGCTACAAGGTATACAATAACAATCAGCACATTGGTGACATAAATAATAAATAAATCAAAGATAGAGTACAAATAAAGAAATTAAATAATAATAATAATAATACTAATAATAATTAAAGTAAATAAATAAATACAAAATAGATAGTTCAAACAGGGGCTTCAGGGAAAAAATTTTCATAATGACTCATTAAGGTATTTTTGTTGTTTAACAAAATCAGAGATTTAAGCAAAGAGCTCAGTTCCAGGAGAAAAGGAGCAAATTTAGGTAGTGATTTTGCAAATTTTTGTTTGTGAATAAAGAATTTTGCATATAGGATAACAAAGTTCATCATGTGTTCAAGAGCATTATCTTCTGGGTTAACATAGTAGCAAATAACATCTTTGAGGGTAAGAGATTGAGAAATGAGATTCAACATCACTCCAAAACTTTTTCGATATATCACAATAAAAAAACAGATGTGAAATTGTTTCTGTATTAAGATTACAAAAAGCACAGGAATCATCAACATCTATAAACTTAGCAATAATACTACTAACTGGGTATATATTTTGCAGTATTTTAAAATGTACTTCTTTAGCCTTGTTAGATATGCAATATTTGTGGGGTAGAAGCCAAGCTCTTCTCCAGTTTATGTCCTCTATTTGGGACTGTTACGACCCGGCTCGGGGGGGAGAGGGAAGCAACATGAACCAGAATGTTTTTAGTAAAATTGCAAGTTATTTATTTGCAGGGTTCACAAGGAAAACAGGAAAAGGGCTGTTGGATGCTGCTTACCTCAAAGAAACAAATATAACTTAAAGAGGTCTCTCCAAAATGAGAGAAAGCCACTGACTACTTCAAAATCAAGTTAAACAAAACTCTGACCCGTCATTAATAAACAAAAATACAAAGTAAGCAGCACCCTCTAAAACCTAGTGTGTCTAACATAAAATAAATCTACAGGTATCTGGTGTGTGTCAGTTACCCCCATCTAGATCCCTGCCCACTTTCCTTACCACAGTTCTCATAGAAAGGCAACACAGGAAACAAAGATTTTACACTAGACAATTACTAAGTAAAGCTTCTACAGAAGTTTAACAGATGTACCACAGTAGAGCACAATATACACAAGGTGAATTGATCAAGGGCAAAATCACAACTGCCTATTTAACAGGTAGGCAGCTATTTAAATAGAAGAAGGCGGTAGATGATTGGAGGGACTGCCAGGCGCCGCACCAATCAGATCATCGGCTGGAACCAGGAAGTAGGCAGGTCTCGCGCCAGCCTATCCTCGGCAAGGGGTCACACATCCTGTTTAACATGACCCAGCTGCACAACACAGATACACCTACCCAGATAACGGAGGTGGCTCTAACAGGGACCTCCAGTAAAACTTGCCTCTAGGCACAACTCTATTCATTCTTTGAAAACACTTTCTATCTGTTAGTTCAACTCCACTCAGCATCAGTACAGGTTGACTTGTTTTATATTCACTGTAACTCAAGTGGCTTTTTATAAGTAGAATTAACTCTATTGGGATAGCACGAGTTACAGATATAAATTCTCTGGAGGGAACAGGAAAACTGTGTACAGACATACAACGTTCATAAGACAACATATTACCAGCATTATCAAAAAGATCGAGGATATGGATGATACCTCTTTCAAACCATTTTAGCAAGAATAAGGATTTGTTTCTTATAAAAATATTGCTATTATTCCAGAGAAAAGCCTTGTTAAATGCTAGAATAGTTTGTTGATGACATTTTGATAGTTTGATTGGTAATCTATTAGGTAAAAAATTACATTTCAAAAGAAAGGAAAGACCTCCAATTTTATTAAAGATGTAGTTTGGGATGAAAAACCAGATAGAGTCAGGGTTTCTGAGACACTTTCTCAACCAGTTAACCTTAAAAGTATTGACAGTGTCTATAAATTCTGCCTTACTGTTGGAGAGGACACATTTCTTGATTTTATGCGATTTATTTTTCCAGATGAAGTCTAAAAAAATTGTATTGACTTGTGTGGTAGTTGGTTCACTTACAAATAGGGACAATGCTGGATGTACGAAGCCAGACAAACCTTCTGCTTTAGAGACAAGAACTCTACCTAGGACAGACAAGTCCTATTCCCCCGTTAACTTGGTACGTCCCCCACGTAATTGGTCCCACACAACGGCTTTCGGCGTCAGGTAAGATACGTACTGAAATAATGACACTTTATACGTGCTAAATCGAACGAAATATATAACGAAACGAACAATAAAAGTTGCCTGTCATTATTGTTGTTACCTTAACTTATGGATGTTGAAGATTATAAAGAAATAACTGAGCTGAACACAAAACAGACCCGGGATAGTAGTGTGCACGTGCGTTATCAGCTGAAATGAATTTATGGTTAATGTAAATGTAAATGAATAAACAAAGGTGTACAAACGAAAACAACAGGTAACCTAACAAGTTAATACCTAAAGAAATAAGTGACGAATGACCACTGTAGTCCACTTTGTCACGTGGACAAATAATGCTCATCAGACTGAGAATTTGTTTTAGTGTTTCATCCTAGACCAATACGTCACATGCTGTAGGTCTAGACCAGTTAGCTATATTGCCCATCCTTTAATAATCTTTAACAACAAAAGGCTAAACAAATGGACAGCAGTGGATATTGACACCATATCCTGCTCTTTAAGTATTATATGTGGCGTTAACTAAAAAAGAATCAATTATTTTATGAAATGTAATTAATACTTTTCAAAATAAACTGGGTGTTTTCCTAGACGTGTTCAATTCTTAAATGGTGCGTTGAATGAGGCGATGATGTGATGTAAAGTAACAGAGGAAATAAAAGAAGTGGTGAAAGTGGTGGAACGATGCAAGAGTCGGCGTTACTTTTAGATTTTAAAGACTTTCAGACTGAAATAATCTGCATTTACAAAGTAGTTACTTATATATATATATATAATTTCACATTGTTGTCATTTATTTTTAAATATCTGTATAATATGACAAACAGTGGGGAGAAATTCATATCTTCATGTCACTGTAAGTAAAAGTTACCTTGTTTGCTATTAATTAAAGTAGAACAAAATGTTGTTAACTTTGTTTCAATAATGGATAGATTGTATATCAGTTAACTATTAATACACACCTTAATGAGCTGCCCGTCTCCCGTCCCAATGAAGAAAACCACCCAGGCCTTCTGTCTCACTGCCAGCACAGAGGTCATGTAGTTCTGCCTGAAGAGCACCTTCTGCAGGGTAGAAACAAGTATTGAGAGCTCTTCATATCAAAATATAAGTGCTCAAAGCTTAATTAGATGTGTGTTGCTATATTATATTATTACGTACACGCCTTAAGTGTGTGTGTGTGTGAGACTGTCCACTTTCTACCACCTTGAAAACATTTCCAGACTCGAGCCATCTCTCTCAGACTCTGTGGCTGAAACCCTCATCTATGTCTCCATCCTCCTCAAAATCCATCTCTTCAACAAGGTCTATGGTCTTAGTAAATGCTGACACACTGGCTAACATTACAACTATCAATTTATGTTTGTATTGTTTGTGTCTCCCTCCATACATGTAAAGCAGCGATATGATATGGAACTGCCAGTTTAATTGTTATTTTTGTGCAGCGGTCTCCTGCTGCCACAGTTCAAAGTAAAAAGCATCAAATCCATTTAACCCTCAAATCATTTGACCTCTCACATCTCTTCTTCTCAACATGCAAAGTCTCGCAGTCTTTTGATTTTATTTATTAAGAAGTTATCAAAAATGTGTTCCTTCTACAAATAGGCTTTCAGAAAACTACATTTTGTAACAAACTTTTGTCTCCATATTTTGTGTCTGAGCACCAAGAACTGGATTTAATCACACAGGTTGCAGTGGGAGAAATTATATGATTTCACCCAACAGTATAGTGTAATGTAATACAGTCTACATTTTTACCAAATCAGCTGAAAAAGGTTCCTTAGATTTTGTTTAGAACTTACTGGAAGAATCTTGATGGACCTTAAAGAACGTCTACGAAGGGGGGAGATGCACCCAGAGGAAATCCTCTCTGAAAGAAATTGTGTATTTTATGTTAAAATAGGTTTCCATGAATTATTTTCTACATTGTTAAATTTGCTTGCGCATTTCACGCTAGAAGCACTAATATTAAAAATACTGAATATTATTATAGTTAGTAAAATTCTCATGAAAATGACGTAAAATGTAAATATTACGTTTTTCTGTACTGAATCCTAACATCAGACTGTTCCCGAATGGAAGTCAGTGAAATATTGGACAGCTTATAGTTCAACTTTGTTGATACCACAGGATAAAGAAATAAAATCAGAGATTAAACTGCTGTAACAAATGGAAACAACATCCAATCACTCAAAAACGACCCACCAGATAATCTCGCTCATAAGTAGATCTGTACGGATCTACATCGGGGTCTCCGGTGAGATCAGGGCTGATGTCAAACACTACCAGCTCGGTGTTGGTTTGTCCTCCGTCCGCACTGAACACGCCGCTCCAGAGCACCGGCGGCCCACCCGGGATCACCGAGGAGGCCAGGAGTCTGCTGTCTGACTCAGCACCACCAGAGATACTGAGAGTCGCGCCCCGCAGAGACTTTACAGTCTGGGTTTTGTCGGTTTTGCCCTCGAGCCAAATGAGACGGACTTTGTTGCGTTTGTCCTTCGAGGGCACGTTAGAGAAAAGATAGATTGTTGAATTGATCTGAAATCCATCCACAAACTCCACACTGCCTTCATGTTTGATGGGAGAGTTAACGAACTCTCCATTAGAGGAAAATATCCCTCCATTCTGACCGTTATTGGTATTATGAAAGTTCACCGTGTCTGATCCAGTGGAGCATTTGGTCTCTGTGGATTTGTCTTCGTATTGCTGTATGGCAGCCAGAATGTAAGTGTCGGTCTTGGTCCGGGTCTCCACATTCACCAGAAAGCTGACGGACGCGCTGCTGTGCCATGGGGGCCCCACCTGGACGTGCTCCTTGTACCGCACATTAGAAATGTTCTTCAGGTCCAGCAGCTCGCAGTAACCGCACTCTTCGGTCATACCGCAGCTGATCAGACTGTCATTCTCAACAAACGGTAATAATATGTTGACACTGAAAGTTGCGTTCCACTTCTCCGTCTCAGAAACCCGGTCAAACTTCGAGTACTCCACCTGTTCCGCACCCTTTATGATTCCTCTCTGGGTCAGACTCCGGACCAGGGTCAGGTCGTGGTTCAGCTGGTACAGCTTCTCCTCTGTAGCGATGTAAACCGTGTTGTTGGACACAGCGAATTGGCGGATGTCTCCGTTAAATTCAAAGCCTCCGCCCTCTTCCAGGCACCGAGCCGGTTCTCCCCAGAGAATGAACAACAGACCAGGCAGCAGGATCATCTTCTAGCGGTGGCAGCAAAACGCTCACACATCGACGGTCTTCATGGCACTCTGCTCTCCTCCACAGTGTCACTGGAGTCGTGCGTAAAAGCGCAGTGCGCCTCTGTTGAAAGGAGGAGTGCTGAAAGTGGGAGGGAGCGAAAGCGAAAACTAACAGACGGTTTCATTCGTTCTCAGATGTGTTCCGCACTTTAACCATGTTTAAAACAAAGTCTATACAGTTTTAGAATAACCACAGAACCTGCATGCAGTGATGTGTGTGTGCGCTCCTGAACAAACTCCAGAGGATGACAGTCTGTCTCCCTACTTCCCTCAACAAATTGGACATTGGACCGTACATGGTGTGAAGTGGGTTGATATGATGATCTTTACACGGTGTAATGCGCTTCAATACTTGTTTTATCTCGTGGTGAAGCAGAGGGGATGTCCACTGACCCCTCCACTCCAACATTATCAGGTGAGCAGCATTTCCAACTGCATCATGCATCGTTGTACATGTTCAAACTACAGTACAGTAAAGATGATATCCAGTGACTCCTGGATGACATCTAGTGTCAGCTTTGAGAAGTTCTTCTAGTCGTCATTGGGAAAACAAACCACTACATCACTCACTCTTCCCCGTAAACAAAACCATGAAAGACACTATTCTGGACTTACAAGCATAGATGGACAGTTGTACTGAGACATCAGTCAACAAACAGCTCAGCAACAACTGGTAATGTTTATGGCCCAAACAGATGACCCATTCTTTTTTCATATTTCTTCCCCCTCCATCTCAAACACTTCCAGTGGCTCAGTCATAATAGGAGTCAAGGTATGGACCCACCAAACTAACATTTCAAGCACAGTAGTGAAACAGTAGGGTAAACACAGGCGTTACCATTGATACTAATTAAGGTTCTGTTGCATTCAGGTCAAACAGAGTCAGGGTGCTGCTGTTGTCCATGTTGGCTCACTGGAAAGGCTCTGCTACACTAAATGGAACAGAACCTTAATTAGTATTATTGGCAACACCTGTGATTACCCTACTAGTAACCTGTTAGGAATACGACATAAACAAAATCACAATTCAAATAAAAGCCCACACTAATAAAAATGTCCCACCACAAACCATAGGACCATCTAAAGGTAGTCAACTCCCAGCACCCCAACCACACCAGTGACTGGAGGCCACCACCAGCCTCAGCACTAGAAACAGAGAGAAGAGATTAAAACCCTGAACTATACCAAATCAATTCTACACACAAACAATAAAAACATAAACATGGACTAATGATGAATTAATACTTAAATAAATGCCAGTCAGTGTTCTGACTCTAAACAGAGCACCTCTCCACATTTTCTGTGAGCTAAAGATTAAAGTAAAGCTAAATTAAAACATTACCTCTGCAGCTGCTGACAGTCATTTCCTTTCAGCTTTTCTACGTACAGTAAAAGTTATGGCAGACCCACAGTGTTGTTATTAAAATACAGAAGTTTGTTAGCACCGACCTGTCGGCTTTCTTTGATCTGTGAGCAGTGATGTGACGCAGTTTTTATTTCTTCACTTGCTCGATGTTTCAGCTCGTTTGTTGTTCGTTTTTAATCCTTTTAAAGTTACATTGTAGCACTGGTAAATATTTCTATTTCACATTTGTTCCAAGAAGTCGTACTTTAATTATTTGTACTATATGGGTGGTTATTTATGTTCATTGTCTACATACAGCAGCCTCTATCTGCCTGTACAGTCATTAAAAAAGAAGCTATTAAGCCATTCTCCTATCTGGACTCTCTAACTGGATTCACATCTAACCTATCTATCATTTTAAAGACACACATTTTTACTTAAACCAAACCACCTTACAAACCATCAATCAAATGCCACTGTTGAAGTTTCTTAATGTATAAATTATCTGGAGAAAGTTTGACTGCAGTTAAAATTGTTCGATACAATAAAACCATCAAGTCATCTTGTGTTGTAGTTGAGGAACCCAAGTCTCATTTGTTGTATCTAATACATGTAAAATCTTAATTTTGTTAGTGCGTTAACCTTTTGATGCACCCAAGCACATTTTTGTGTTTCTGACTTTTAATTTCTAGCATATTTGATCCCTTTTTCATGCATATTGATGATGAATCATGCAAGGTTGTGCCAATTCTTTTCATGTATTTTTTATTTTTAGCCTATTGTAAGGAGTTTGGTCTAGACCTGCTGACTTCTGTTATGAATTGGTGCTATACAAATAAAATTGAATTGAATTGAATTGAATTGAATTAAACAACGTGGACTGAAATAGACCTGTTAACGTCCCTTCACTCAAAAATATGTAGATTGAAAACCATTCAAATCACTATTTTTGATTACCTTCCCGATGGTGATGATGAAAAAAATAAGTAGAAAAAAACAAAAAATAATAATATATAACATTTTTATAGCTTGATTTTTTTTTTACCTTAACGTGATTATTTGACATTGATCAAAAAATAATAATGCATATAAATAAACGTTGCTGCTAATCTTTCACATATACCAGGCTGCAATATTCAAACCATAAATAATCCAGTTTGCATGAAGTATATTGGAAATAAATCATTTTTTATGTGTTTTAGACCATGAAAACTTCAGCAGTTTTGGGTGTGTGCTGTGGTGGTGAGATTTTGCAGCACATCAGCCGTACACACTGTGCTGATTACAGTAAGGAAGAGTAGGCTATGTAAGCTATGGTGAAGGTCTTCTCTCCTGTGAGGGTCCCCGTGGCTCCCAGAATATCTGCCAAATGGCTGAGATGCTGAACAGCACTCAGTCTCACTGCAGCTCTATGGTAGCTGGCTCAGGCCTAAATTCAGCAGGGTTTTCATTATATAACCGGGCTGCAGTTCAGCACCGTGTCTTTGGCCAGACTGGCCTGCTGCTGGATGAAGCTGTTGGACAAAGACACTAGCTGTGTCATTAGAAAGGATTCAAACTGTTTGACACTTTGACTCAGTAGAAAAACGACTTTATTACAAAACTTAAATTTCACTCTGATATATTGACTACTAATCTATATACTATATATTAATTGTCCTCACACCCATAATAGGAAAACTACACTGGCTAATGCTACATTCTCAAGTCTGTAGGTGAACATGAAGCAGCAGCCAGCAGCCTGTTAGCTTAGCTTAGCATAAAGAATGGAAACAGATACAACTAGCCTGGTTCTGCTGGTAACAAAATCCACCTACCAATGCCTCTAAAGCTTCTTTGTATCTTTATTTTTCATTAGTACAACAATGAAATGAACAAACACACAGGATCTATTAACAGTAACAGAGGAGGGACCAATAACAATATAATTACCATAAAAACAGTAATCGTAATAAGATACAATAACTGAGACAACGTTCAGAGATACTTGCAGGATACTGTACAATCTCAGAACTAAACACTGCAGAAGTCCTCTTACACTCACTGTATGCTTAAGATTTTTTACATAATATTGAGACCAAAGAGAACTTTACTCCAGTGACCCACAGGTGAACAATTGGGTCTCAGTGCAGAAAATGAACCTGAGGCATTATGTCCATCTTGATAAAGGAGTTGCCCAAAGTTTTCCAGGTTTGACCTAACGGTCAGATCTTGTTCATCTCAGCAGTGAGCTTCTTTTGCCATCGACAGATAATCACCAACACTGAAAGACAAACAGTTATTGATTTAAACTGAACAGACAGACAAACAGAACTCAATCCATAAATTGTTCATTAAAAAGGTCAAAATTCATTCTAGTTCAGGTTTTCACACAAACAGCCTTTGATTGCATTGATGCAATACATACAGATTTCACTGTACATATCAGAGAGCGACGACACTGACTGGACTGAAATCCAGTCAACCTAGTGTACTTACCAACAGGAATACAGGGTATCAGCAGAATGCGCAGTATCAGAAGGATCTGATGTAATAAAGATGGAGGCCCTAGTCTCACCGTCTTGTCACCATATTTTATCTGGAAAACAAATACAACACTGCTATTAAAACAGGAATTTTACAGTGGGACATCTCACCAGAACACTGGGTCAAAAATATTCTGAGGGCTTGGTGCTATGACCCACCTTCATCCTGCCTACAATCTCAATAAACTAAGTTGTATTTGTGTATTGTATTGTCTAGATTGGTGAAGATGAAATAAAAGATTTACTGTTAAGTGCTGAAACTCAACGTCAGGTGTCCCTTGAATCTCACAGATAAAGAGGTCAGTCTCGTTACTGGTTTTTTTGGCTTCCATGATGCAGGGGAATTGTTCACCTTCCTGAACGCCCCACACTGACAACTCTCCCAATGTCATCTCCAGTTTGTCTGCCTTTTTCTGCAATAACAGAAACACATACTGATGTTTTATGCATTCATGTTCTATTTTTGTGTATCTGTGATAAAAATATACATTACCTCTATGGTGATGCGCACATCGTCTCCTGTCCTTGTAGATGTGAAGCTGGTGAACTCAGGGTCTGGGTAGTAGGTTATTGTTGTGGAGCAGTCCAACGTTTCATTGGCTACTTTCAGAAACACACTGCTTGTAAAACTCTCTCGATAATTTCCAGCTGCCGGTGTGTCATAGATCAGATTCTGTTGTGAATTTAAAAAAAAATATTGTGATATGTGTGATAATCTGTGTATGGAGTAGCATGGTGATGATGGTGACGTACTATTTATGTCAGTACTTTAGCATAACTAAAAAGGCCACATCATAGCATGGCGTGACATGTAATAAAACAAAGTGTGACATTATACATGGTTCACTCTGAATGTTTATGCATGTGTATATAGACACAAGTAACAATAATGCAATATAATGTATTGAAAAATACTTAATGTAATGTTACATAACATAATGCTAGAAGATTACATGGGATGATGTGACATAACATAGTCTAATTTGATCTAATATCAGTATTGTGATATAATGTGTCAGTAATGCAGCATGATATGATGTGATGAGACATAATTAATGTAAGATAACAATACAATGGGACATTGTACATGTCTACAGACCCACCTGAGAGGTGTTGTTTCTGGGAAGTCTGACCTCATGCAGGGCGTGGCTGTGTAAGACCCCTTCCACAAACTCCAGGTGGGATCCAATGACTGTGATCTTCCTCTTCCCACTACAGGACACAGAGCAGCAGCCAATCAGAGAAGTGGAAATATAATACACATTCCATACCAGAGAAAACCTTTCCTTAAACATGACACATCTAGGGTCACCTACATATGAGTCTAAATCTCTTGGTGGCCCCTGGAAACTTCAATGGTCAGTCTCTCGTTCAGACTCAACACTCAAGAATCTTGCACAATACAAAGAACAAAATCTCTGTTGAATGTAGTTCCCTTAGACTGTGGAAAACAGTAAAGATTGTTCCTGGATATAAACACGACAACATCCACAACTTTAACACACATCATTGCCGGACAAGAGATGAAAATGATCGTGTCCACCTGGGTGTCATGTTTCCATCACTGCCAATCAGAGTCAATGAATGACGACTGTACCCGTTCCCACTGAAGAAAAAAGCCAGATGCTAGTTAAGTGTTAGTGGGTTGTGTGGAAATAATGTGTGTAGGCTTTAGAAAAAAAGGTTGGGAAGTCCCCAAAATCATTAGGATTTATCCACAGGGGATCCTCAACAGATTTAATAGAGATCAGCCACTGGTTTTCACTATGTCATTTAGAAGTCACATTTTGGTCTGGGGTAGCACTAGAGGAAAGCTCATGTAGTAAAAGTAAGGGAGTCATTAAAATCTTTAGGAATCATCCTGAGGATTGTGAATATCAATAAATGTCTTGACGACTCCTTCAAGAACTTGTCACAACCATGAGCATGGCCCTAGGATAATGATGTTCAGACTACATGCACGTTATAAAACTTAAAGTATCTCGACTGTTATGTCGTTTAAGACTGGTGCTTGTTGAGGTGCAAAAACAGAAGTGACAGGAACAGACGTTCATTAATTATTTAAACCACAGACACACCGACAAGATAGTCGAGATCTAATATAATGAATGTTCTGTGTTCTTCTACACATCCAGATAGTCACACACAGTCCAGGTCCATATAGAGAAACAGTTTGGAGTAAAGTCCTCCTCCTGACAAATTCTCTGATTCCTCTGGAGAGTTTCTTTGTCCTGTCAACTTTATAATGACAGTTCTTATTTTTGCTGCTTAACCATATTTGCTGCAGTGACATTACTGCACACATCGAAACATCTAAAATGCCTCTGTAATCATTAATTTCCAGTGTTCACAGCACAGTCATATTCTAAATTCATTATTGAATAATCTGGAATATCACTGTGCTGTGAACACTGGAAATTATGCCTATATTATTATTAGGCTAAATGTTCCAGGCAACATTGAAATATATAATACATATCAAACCCAACTCAGGAATGATTAGCCTCATGTGACTGAATAGAAATGATGTAAAAAGTATTTCTGGTCTGTAAGTTGGTGGCTCAGAACAACTTCCAGTTCAAGCAAGAATAGAACAGATTACAGGGGCCCAAGTGGTCCACTAACTTATGCAGAGGTGGCATCGAGTCTGTGCACACACCAACAAAATGTAAATAAACAAGCCTGTGGACGAAATATTGTATTGACAAAATTGTGCAAAACTTCAAATCTACAAAACAAATTTCTTTACAGAACATATGCTACAGTGAAATTTCACAAAAGGCATCACAGCCCAAGATGCATTTGTCAACCACATTTAAAAATATTTAAATGAACCTTTTCTTGTGTTGGCTCACAAACACTTTTATAAAGTTTGAAAACCTTTTACCAACAAACGTCCAGTTTTAATCATCAAACAGCTGGTTTGAACTAAGGTCACAGGTCTGACCGGGCAGATAGCCACTCATAGTTTAGGATAATGAGGTGGCACCTGGTATGACCAGTTTCAGGGATGGCCCACGCCCCCCCGGATACACCCCTGCTTTTTCCATCAAAAACTGTATTTGTTACTTTGTTTTGGGAAAAAAGAAATGCCAACAAATTCAGTCATACCTGATCCAGGTGCTGCTGGGTGTGATGTTGGTGCAGGAAGGTAAGGACCGGTAGGTGATTTTAGCATTGCCATGGCAACTACCGTCTGGGAGGACAACACATACTATGACCACGCCTTTATTATCCGTCCTGGGAATGTGGAACGTCAGATCCACACCAGTGTTGCTCCACACAGGAGTTCTGACCAAAGCACACAGAATAAAAGAGAGAGAGAAACCGGATAGTCTCACTGAGATCAAGACTCACTTACTCACTTTTTTGTGTCGGTAAGTTTTTACATCATAATAACAATAAGATGCAGAAAACCTGAAAGCAGCCAGAAGCATAGCAGCAAACACATTAAACATCATTTTAAACTCACGAGATGTTGTTTCATAAGCTTAACACATAATTCTACTGCCATTACAACATAACACAAGACAACACAAGAAATATAAAAAAGGATACAGCAGAATCAGCTTCAATCTGTCGAACTATGCAGACAAACAAAGGTGTATGCTTTTGACTTTAAAGAAAATGCCACACATTTCAATTTTGAGGCTTTCCTAAATCTAAAAACTGGGCACCTGATAAATCTACCATTTTTCTATTGACACTGACTGAGTTTGGGTCCCTGTTCCAATCCAGTCTCCAGCTTTAGGAAACAGCAGTACATGAAGTACTGGACAGTTTATGTCAATTCATAATATGGGTGGAATTCCCAGTAATAATCTCCATCTCTGAAATGTCATTTATAGTGTAAGCAGATTCTTAGTCGTCCATAAACTGACTCACTCTTGTGGCGTGCAGTCCATGTCCGCCTGGATCCTCACTCTGGTCACGGCAGCGAGGTTACGACCAGACAACATCGCATAGTTTCTGCCGTAGAAAGACACGACACTGGGAGAGATTGAGGAGATCTCTGGTCTCTGACAGTAAAACACACACAAAGATAATCAGTTTTAATGTATTACCTTCTACTGATGTTTTAATCTTTATTGACTGTGAATGAGGAGCATCAGAGGAAGAATATATGTGACAACTGAGGTTCAGACTCACAGAGAAGTTCATCCCCGACTCCTCTGTTTGACAAACACTGTCCTGCAGGAGGAAGTGAGGTGAAGACATTAAGCAGGTTGACATTACATCCACTGTAAAAGTACTATGAAGAGTTGATACAGGACCTGTTGTGGCTAACATTAGCTTAGCTACAAAAACTGGAAACAGTAGAAAACAACTAGTCAGACAACTATAATTATTTACATGTTGTATGTGTTTGATTAACATATGCAGAAACAACAATCAGTTAGTTTAGCTACTGATCAGCTCTTGGTTGGGTGCAGTGGGGCCTGTAAAGCAGAAGCATGGGTTTCTCTGAGCAGACAGCATGGGTTTCTTTTTGTAATACTTCCCCATTGATGGAAAAACCAGCTGGATTAAGCTAAATAAGAGAATTTCCTATTTTATCATAAAAAAATATAATTAGGGCCCAAGCACCAACTGATACAAAGACAAAGTCTGGAAAACCCTCTTAGATAAACACATAAACAGATGCATAGTTACATTTCCCTCTCCTCGATTCCCCCAGGAACAGCCGTTTTTGCTCCAGCCACATCCAGCCTCGATACATCGCCGACACCTGAAGAGAAAACAAATGTTATCACCTGTTGATAACAACCACAGAGACCACAATATAGTAATGCTGTACATGCTTTCTTTATATATATATATAGGCAATAAAAGCCCAATATATATATATATATATATTGGGCTTTTATTGCCTTTAATTGACAGTGACAGCTGAAGATAAAGAGGAAAGGGGGCAGAGAAAGAGGGGATGACATGCAGCAAAGGGCTGCAGGTCAGATTCAAACCCTGGGCCGCTGCAGCAAGGAGTTTTTTGCCTTATTAGGACCCGAGCACAAATCGTGCAAAATGCTCACGTCAGTCGTGGCGAAAATAGTCGTATTTTCTAGGGGTCCACTATGAGCATAGCAAAATGGCCCCTCAGGGGCCCATAAACTGTACCATCCGAGGCCCCATTCACCGATATGCATAAAAATCAACACACGCGTAAATCTTATCCAGACGAACAAAAAATCCAGTGGGCGCCACATCCCAAAATCGCTGCCTGCAGATTTAATTCCTTTTTCTTTTTCTTCACAGTTTGTTTATTCTGTTTATTATTTATGTTAGAAATGATCTGTGTACTTCGGTTTGGACTTACAGGGCAGGAGTCTGCTGTCCCCTGATGTCGGCGCAGTTGGATATCTTCAGCTGTTCCAACAATTGTGTTGTCCCAAGTCTAATCTTAACTGTGACTGGCAGGCCTGTAATACAGTAATACAATGAATGTTAGAGTCTTGGTCATCCTTTTCAGCAACACACATATATTTTATGCAATGTCACAACACGTATGTACAACACAGATTTGTCAACTAATAATAATAATGATAATATAATCAGAATGATAGTCACTCACCTTCAGCAGGAAGTGTGCTATTTTTAAGGATGCAGGTGCATCGAGGGAACTGTGGACGACGGTTTTCCGTGTTACAAAGCTCATGGGAATTTGCAGAGAACTGACAGGCAAAGTTAGACAGAGCCTTCTGGCCCACGGTGGCGTGTGTCTGGATGATAACAGTGATCTGAGAAAGGAATGGATGTGAGTGTTTAAAAGAGAAAAAACTGTAAGTCACAACTGATTACAGTTAAAAGCTTGTATGTAATCTGTACCTGCCCAGTGCTGTCCTTTACAACTTTATATGAAACCATTGTCTGTTGAGAATCATCAGGAATGGATAACCAGTCTGAATCTTGGCATTCGTCTTCAAATGTGCAACTAGGAAGAGAAAATGATGTTTTTAACCAAGTTTATAATTGTTAGAAGGTGTCAGCTGCAGATGTTGTTTCCCTGACCTTCTTTTAGAGCCGCACCAGACACAGTATGGATCCTGTGCAGACCAACAGTCCTGCACATTTGTGTATGTGCTGCACTTTGACACAGGTACACGCTTCATCTGGAACAAAACACAAACATGCTGAAATAAAAGTAAAATCTGATCAATTTAATTTATTCTCAGTCTCTCAGTGTTCACCACAGCTTCACATGTGATTCATGCACAAGGGACCTACCTGGTTTTTAAATGGCACGTACACATGTTTACGATCCACCTGGTCCAGCTGCATTTTGGGAAACACTTGGCGATCATCATTGGCCCTGTAGAGCACTCTGGGACAGGTGGTGTGATAGTCCTTGTCCACAGCAAGCTGACAACAAGAAAGTACATTTGTTATTTTCTCTGAGAAACTGAGCTACTGCTTTGTTTTTAGGTGCAAAGCAAAACTGAGCTGGAAAGAAAGAATTATCAAAATATAATAAAAGCACAAATACCCCACTGATTTGAAATGATTTCTGCCTATAAAAAAAGATTATGCTGCTTCTAGAAGTACATTTAATACCTCAGTCTTCCACTTACACCTGTATATGCATGTATTCTACAAATAGAATTTATACCAAACGACAGCTCTACAGGAAGCAGCTATATTTCCTGCCACAGTGAAAAACCTGTGGTGACTCTGTAGTGGCATGACATATAATGTTATGTCCTGAGATCAACCATCACAACCACATTTAAGATCTGTTTTGTGAGACAAATTATTTTCTGCTCTTAAAAGCCGCCCTTCAGTCTTCTGCTCTGGAGTCATCCCCCCACTTTTCCTCTGGATCCTAAATCCACCAAAATCTTTCAAGCCATCTCACCCCCAATCATACCTGTGCTCATGCACACTATGAATGCTTTTAACTGGTACCGCACAACATTATATAATTTAATAATATATATAATAATATTATATATAACGTGGAAGGTATCACCTTAAAATGCTTATTGTTCATTTGGTGAAACTCTCCTGTTTATTCATATCTGGTTTCTCTTTACATGTTTTCTATAAACATGACCTGCAACAGTGAATCCCTGGTACCACAACACTATGACATACTGTCAACTAATATCCATATTATTATATTCAATATTATTTGTAATTACATATAGCTGTTCTATCTAATGTGTCTTTACAGGCAGGGAGCACTGCAATGGTCGAAAGAGCTCAAGACTGAATGGAGAGAGACACGTTAGCGAGAACAGAACAGTAAATCAAAGAAATGAAACGTAATTGCAAGGCCAAAAAATACTACAATAAAAACAATAAAATGTTGAAATATAAAAAATAAATAAAATAAAAATAAATGTTGATTTGAGAATAATGTAAAAACCAAAGATTAAAACCTAAAAAAGTACAAACAGGGACGCTGGACAGAAACTAAACTTCAAACCACAGAGATTAAGTTAGAAGCTACAACTGAGGCACAGAGAGCTGAAGACTCAAAGGACTTTTAAAACCCTTTGCCTGACTGATTTCCTGTAAAGACATGAGTTGAGTCATGGAACACATGACATATCTTTTGAGCAAAAGAGGTCCGCAACCTGCTTGGAGGCAGATCGGGTGTGCTTTGGCGCTTTGGCCCTAATCCAGGGATGGTCCATCTTAGACATGGCTCAATGTGGCTCGGTTGAACTTGACGCCTTTAAACTGGTACAGGAAATGCAAATGTTAAAAATGTTCCTGCAATTCACTTTTCTATCTCTTTTAAGTATTATAATTGTCATTTAATAAAAAAATATTTTCAAAGTAAACTGCATGTTTTCTCAGGTGTGTTCAATTAAATTCAATTTTATTTGTAATGTGCCAAATCATAACATAACATAAATATAAGTTTTCTCTTTTAAATTTGAATTTATTATGCTTTGTGATTATTTGCGTCACAAATGAACCGAGCTCGGACTTCAGCCTATTCCTGGCTAATGTCCGGTTGCAGGATTCTTTCCCAGTGGCGGCCACTATCAAATATCCAGTCTAGCTTCACTGGACCCTTCAATGGGGAAAGTTTCAGAGAAGCTGATTTTGCACCATGCTGTGTCACTGACCATCTACACAACCCTGAGACATCAGACACTGGTCCAGCTTCTACTATGCTTGTCCTTCATCATCTCCAGTGTGCCTGCCACTGCATCATCTTCCATTGCCTCCACCGTGCCTGCAGCTGGGTTGTCCTCCTTTGTCTTCACTGTATCTACTTCTACCACCCTACATCGCATAAACATACCTAATGCTGGACTTTTACTCAACACTCTCATTGTGCCAGTCATTGGGCCTCCATTACCTTCACCGTGCCTGCTGTTAGAACGTCTTCCTTGATCCTTGATGATGTTTCATCTTTCTCTCACAAGAAATAATCACAAAGTGTGTTAAATATTTTTTCAAAGGTGTGAAATATTATCTCCACATGCTCTTATTGTGTTATTCTGTTAATAACCTTAATATAATAATACTTATAATAATAATAATAATAATAATAATAATAATAATAATAATAATAATGATAATAATAACCTAATATTGTACCATTTCATTAAAGTTTGGTTAAAGACTGTTCTTGACTGATCAGCTGATCAATGTATCTGAGTAAAATATACATTTAACTCAGATCAAATAATCTACAAACCAAAAAATCTAGTTACCACTGGAATAGTTGCTTAGTCTTCTGCAAAAAATTTTTTTTCTTGGGTGCATATGATGGCTGAGAGCCTTTATTAGTGAAAATATAGCAGTTCATTAGTGTGCAAACATATGTTTCCAGTATCAAAAGCTGTATTTCATATAATCTGTGAGTTATGGAGGAAAGTGTAAAAAAGAAAAGAGTTACAATTGCCCCGGGAAAAATGCTCCTATTCACGTCACTCTAACTTTAACTTGATGTCACTTTACTTACTATTTAATAAGCATAGCCAAATATGTTCTTGAATTAATTGTCCTTAGCATTTTTTTCCAATGGCATTTTTCTCATTAACAGATTGTATTTCACTTTTTATACACACCTTAATGAGCTGCCCGTCTCCCGTCCCGATGAAGAAAACCACCCAGGCCTTCTGTCTCACTGCCAGCACAGAGGTCATGTAGTTCTGCCTGAAGAGCACCTTCTTCGGTTTCAGTGTCTTTGGCTGAGAAACAAACACATTTATTATGACTCCTAGATGCAAACAGTGTCTATGGAATTGTGAAGTGAAGGACCTTCAGGTTAACTAGTGAAGGTTCTTCATATTAAAATATCGCTGCTCAAAGCTTTATTAGATGGGTGTTACTATATTACATCATTGGGTACGCACTTTAAGCCATGAATAATGATCTCTAATCAATTAATATCTTGGAATATTTGAATCATTTGTTTATCTGTTTCCTTAATGGTGCCATTTAAATTAATAATATAGCAGAAGACAGTCTAGTTTTTTTTTTTTTACCTTATACATCAAATAAGGTTCCTTGGATTTTGACTGTTATAACATTATAACTTTAACTAGATTAAAACAAAATCAGGACCCACCACATATTTTGGCTTATCAGATCTACACGAACTGCAGAAGTCCGGATCTACATCGGGGTCTCCGGTGAGATCAGGGCTGATGTCAAACACTACCAGCTCGGTGTTGGTTTGTCCTCCGTCCGCACTGAACACGCCGCTCCAGAGCACCGGCGGCCCACCCGGGATCACCGAGGAGGCCAGGAGTCTGCTGTCTGACTCAGCACCACCAGAGATACTGAGAGTCGCGCCCCGCAGAGACTTTACAGTCTGGGCTTTGTCGGTTTTGCCCTCGAGCCAAATGAGACGGACTTTGTTGCGTTTGTCCTTCGAGGGCACGTTAGAGAAAAGATAGATTGTTGAATTGATCTGAAATCCATCCACAAACTCCACACTGCCTTCATGTTTGATCGCAGCATTGTCTAACTCTCCATTAGAGGAAAATATCCCTCCATTCTGACCGTTATTGGTATTATAAAAGTTCACCGTGTCTGATTCAATGGAGCATTTGGTCTTTGTGGATTTGTCTTCGTATTGCTGTATGGCAGCCAGAATGTAAGTGTCGGTCTTGGTCCGGGTCTCCACATTCACCAGAAAGCTGACGGACGCCCTGCTGTGCCATGGGGGCCCCACCTGGACGTGCTCCTTGTACCGCACATTAGAAATGTTCTTCAGGTCCAGCAGCTCGCAGTAACCGCACTCTTCGGTCATACCGCAGCTGATCAGACTGTCATCCTCAACAAACGGTAATAATATGTTGACACTGAAAGTTGCGTTCCACTTCTCCGTCTCAGAAACCCGGTCAAACTTCGAGTACTCCACCTGTTCCGCACCCACTAAGATTCCTCTCTGGGTCAGACTCCGGACCAGGGTCAGGTCGTGGTTCAGCTGGTACAGCTTCTCCTCTGTAGCGATGTAAACCGTGTTGTTGGACACAGCGAATTGGCGGATGTCTCCGTTAAATTCAAAGCCTCCGCCCTCTTCCAGGCACCGAGCCGGTTCTCCCCAGAGAATGAACAACAGACCAGGCAGCAGGATCATCTTCTAGCGGTGGCAGCAAAACGCTCACACATCGACGGTCTTCATGGCACTCTGCTCTCCTCCACAGTGTCACTGGAGTCGTGCGTAAAAGCGCAGTGCGCCTCTGTTGAAAGGAGTGGAGGGGTGAATTCCACTCGCGGAAGCGCGCACAAAGCGAAAACTACCTGTGATGAAATGGAGAATTTATAATAAATAAGGAATATTTTAATAATATTGAAACTGTATGTTTTTGAAGTCCACTCACCCACTTTTAGTTCGTTTTGAAACAAAATCTATAGTTTCGGTCTAACTCACCGTGATACTGAATATGTGGAGGACCGCCAGTTTGAGCCTGCAGACCAAATCGAGATTCAGGGGATATATCATCTGCAAAAAGTTTACTAAGTATACTAAGTTTATTGTATTTTATCTGAAATGTTTAGAATCTCAAGTAGCAGTAAACATGTGAGATCAACAGCAATAATGTTTTTAGAATACAAAATACATTACAAAATAATTAGCTGAATGGAAACAAATTCAAAACCAAACTGCAACAGGAAAGAAACTCAGCTGCTGGTTGACGAGATCAGGGAAATGTTAGTGTTCAAGAACCTCAAGCTAGAATGTCAGTGTGAGACCAGCAGTGGTTGGGGAGATTCACCTGTGCACAGTGGAGGAGTTTAGAGAAGGGGAAGTTATTGCTGGGGTGTGTTTTGTTTAAATAATTAAAAAGTATTAAATAAATAAAGTTGTTTTAGATGATTATCAATATTTTTGTCCTTTTACTTATGTGTCCTTATCTGTCCTGATTGAATGTGTCTATCTGACTTCCTAACAGATCATGATGTACTGTTTTTTGAAGCTGTTTGATGTACCAACCTCTGAGTAAGGCAGACTTGTATGGAAACAGATCATGCACTGTGTTGGAGCCAATAAGTATACCTACTGATGAGATAAAGCAGAAACCTCTAAGTAAGGCACATTTAAAATTAGAGGAGAAACATATACAAATCATTTGTTATCTATTTACTTATGTTTTCTAAAAATAGGATCCTGATGAAGGCTTGAACGATTCCTTAACCTTAGTGTATACATTAATAATGTAAGCTATGTCGTTCTTTTGTTTATTGTGCTTTATTGTACACATCCATTCATCAACCCACTCCCTCACTCACATAATAAATAGTTAAATGGCTCATGAAACCTTGTGTTTAAATGTGCACACCAGTCAGAATCTTGATGGGCCAATCCTCCTTAATCAGACAATAATAATCAAATCTACGTCACATGTTAAATTTAGTAGATATAGTCTTTTATTAGATATAATGAGGAGTTTAGTGCCACAATGATAAGTGCAGACATTGAAGATGCATGACAAGTGACTGAAGGTAAAATCAATGCCAGCTTTATTCTTGTAGCAGCAGCTGCACCTGCTGAGCTGAGACTACCTTCTCAGTGATTATACATATTATGGATATATATATATATATATATAGTGCATTCAGGAAGTATTCAGTCTCCTTCACTTTTCACATTTTGTTGTGTTGCATGCGTATGCTAAATTGTTAAAAAAAATTTCTTCTCATCAATCTAAAACAGGATCATAGAATTTCAGTTTCAGAAAAAACAGACGCCAGTATTCAGACCCCTTGTTGTTAGTCTTAAAATCCAGGTTGCCATCAGGTGACTCCCAATTCTGTAAAGAAGTCTAATCAGAACATAATTTGCTTTTATCGTTTCTTAAATCAGAATAATAACATTAAAATAGTGAAGTCATTTGAATGTAAAATGGGTGGCTGCTTCACTGATGATTAACACAGTGCGGAGCTATGAGGACACAAAGTCATGAATACATTTTAGCACTGGCAACATGAGTACAAAGCACAAATTAAACCTCCTTTAGGAGCAAGAACTCACAGAAATACCCAAAGCCAATTTACCCAATGACCATATCAATGTTCTGATGGAGTGGTACCATAGGAGAGGTCAAAGTCATATTCAGCTTTAGGCAAAAGTATCATAACATTGGGATATACAACTTAACTATCTAGGGCCAGCAAAAGATAAAAATCACAACTTCAGAGCCAGCAGGTTCTGTCTGCCTTTATGCGAGTTTAGTTATTGAACATTTAGGTTTTATACTCACTGAATTAAATTTATTCTTAATCCTAAATCAGAAGATATAAGATATAATCAGCCAGGGCAATAATAAGGTCATTATAATATTGTGCAATGTGATGTTTAATTTGGTGGATTTCCTCTTTTAAAGCTTGGAGAAGGCGCTTGTGTTCTCGCTTCCTGCCACTAGAGGCCGCTGCCGCCCTCGGTGTGGACATGCAGCGGCATGCAGCAGCAGCGCGGTCAGAGGCAGCAGAGTGTCGGGAACTCCAGCTGCTCCGCTCCGTATATTTCCACTGACCCTCCGTTTCAGGGATTCATTCATCTCAGTGAGAGCTGCTGCTCGGTCTGTCCGAACGGGATCAGTCCATCCATCCACCCGTCTGTCCATCCAGCTCTACATTGTCTCTCTCCTTCCACCCAGCGGTGCGCTGCGTCCGCATCAGCGTCTGGGAAGGTCAGACACATCGTTATTTTGATCAGCGGACCTGGCAACTTTTTTTCTCCCCCCCTCTCTCTCTACCTGATCAACGTTTCATCACCGGGAGATCATCCCTGCATTCGACCGTCGCTGGTGAGTCTTGCTGCCGGTGTTTTCGTGTGATGTGCGTCCCCTTCGGAGACAGCACTGCAACACTGAGCTGTGGGAATGAAATCAAACCTGTGGTCAGGCCAGGAGGTTTAATATTTTACTGACAGAATGAAACCTTTGAGGAAGGTCATGCACACTCTGTCCGTTTCCTCTGAGATTAAAATGTCTCTTACGGCATTGATGATATTTAGGGGACATGGGGACATAGGTGTTTCTGGTTTTCATGTGACTTTAAATGGACATTATTGTGATGGCTGTCCAGTTCTGTTCTACAGTGTCTCATTGTTTTCTGTAAGGTGAGATGATGACTGTAACGTTTTCAAAGTTGGACAAATCTTTCCAGTCAGTCACCAGGGCTGTTAAATATAATAATGTCCCCTGTAATACAACCACAAGAGCGTGTCTCCAGTTCAGTCTTCATGAATATGCAGTTTTCTCACACTCTGCTGCTCGGTCCCCCTCCACCTTCCCCTGTTGGGTTCGAGGACGTAATTGGCATTCATGTGCAGCTCCCAGTGTTGCATAATCTCAATGGGATTTAGGGTCAGTCAGCATATCCTACACGGATGCTTGCCAAACCGGGGTTCGGGGGACTCCCAGGGGTCCTGAAGAAAGCTGTGGGTGGGAGGCCAGCAAAAATGAAGATGGGCTTGATATCACTGTTGTTCCTTTGACTTGAGATCAGCATTAGGAGGGAGTGAGGGGTTGAGAAGGTTACAGAAACTCGAATGTCCTCCGAAAACAACAAGTTACTGCAACCCTCAGCGGACACGCACACATCAAGATAAAGTGTCTCCAGTATATGGGTCCCAATGAAATGCACTGCTAATGACTCACAGTGGTGGAATGCTACTAAGTACATTTACTCAAGTACTTAATTACTTTCCATTTAATGCCATTATGATACTTAAATCTACTATCATAAATAAATAAATAAAACATAAACCTATATAAAACACTAATACAATAATATAACACTCAGTTTTGAGCAGTAGTAGCGCGATGGAGCAATGTTTTTATGAGTGGGTCACTGTTTTGTTTTTATTGTGACAAAATACACTGAATGTGAATAGAACTTTTGTATGTTTACAAGAACTCCACGGGGAACCTTTAACCACATTTTGTTGCAAATACTTCTGTTCTTTAATTTAGTAAAACAGAGGACTTTTACTTGTAACCAAGTATATTTTACATTGTGGTATCTGTAGTGTTGAGTAAAGGATTTGAATACTTCTTCCTCCTCAAATGACTCAGAGAAAGACAATCTTCTCAGATAGGAGGGCTTGCAGTGAAGACTAGATTAAACAGGGCCACACTGGTCCAAAGTCTATCAGCATGAGGGCTGTCTGACTGAGAAGTTTCGTTTAACAACCTGTGGAATCACTGGAGATTACCGATTACCAAATAAAAAACAACAAAACAACCATTTTAACCTGACTAAAACATTCATTGGTCTGTTTGAATTAGACACTGTAGCATTATTCCCCACTGGTTTCACTGGTTTCCCTCCAGAGGCAGTGCACCAGCTCACTGTACGTATTTTGATGACAGGCTTGTGGTTTGCAGTCTTTCTATAGCCTGTGGTGCAGCAGGTCTCCTCCCATGGTTTGGAGCTCAGAGCTCTGTAATCTCCCTGAACCACAGAACCACCACCCAGATTCATTTCTCAGGGTAAAAATGACACAAAACCCAGCTGGGCACAGGCTGGAAAAAATATACACGTGCAGTATAGTTTGGATGGGGTCCCTATAGAGCAGCAGTCCATGGATAAATTGCAGGTACTAGAAAGAGCTTCAGGTTCATAATAATCTGAAATGATGACCATCTATCTCATGTATTTCAAGGTGAAAGGTAATTTTATTTTGTTTCCCAACGGTAACAGACATTGGTTTCAGTCACAGAGGCACTTAAGCTGTAGACATTAGGGTAGATACAGCAGAATGTGTATCACATTCATTTAATTTTATCCTTTGAATCCTTTGTGTTTGATGTTTACATTGTAGTTGGTGCTGTACCCTTTGGCTTCAGTCTGAAAAGTAGCACTAGTTAGCTATTACTTGGCACAGTTGCAATGTGTTGTATTCAGTTTGTACTGTAGCAGTGGATTATCTCGTGCTTGTTATTGTAACACTGTAGTTACTGCTTCTGATTTGCGATCCAGTTTGTACTAGTTATTTGGAATGATGATGATATGTGTAGGTGTACATCCACATTTTTCTTGGGGATCAGACTGGTTGTTCTGACTCATTTCAATGTGCAGAGAGAGAGGGAGAGAGAGAGAGAGAGAGAGAGAGAGAGAGAGAGAGAGAGAGAGAGAGAGCTACTCTGGCGTAATGATGCGTCACACTTGGATTATTCCTTTATCGTAAACTTCGCCTCTACTTCTTCTTAAAGCTGCTATAATCAATATTTTCATGTTAACAATGGATCAGATGACTGTGTGTGTGATAGGGGTGGGAATCTCTTCTTGAATTTGATTCGATGCCGATTCAGAGGGCAACATATTTCTCAACAGTCTGCCTGTAGCACCAACCTCATCCTTAGCTGCTGCTAAATTAGGGAGTGCTGTTAGCCTAGTTCAGAGCATAAACACAATGCAACGTTCGTTTGCCATCCAATTGGTTTCGGCTGTAAGGAATGTACATGCCTTTTGCACATGCTCCTGCCGAGGTCCGCCATTTTGTCTGCAGCCAGGTGCTGTTTTGTTACAGTAGATCATAATGTTGAGAATTTCATTTTAAATTTTCTGCATTGAGACAAAATCACAGGAATCTGTCAAAAACACTTTTTTTAAAAATTATCACCTGACTGTGTAGTTCTTCTCAGCTCTACAGAGCATTTTAGCATCTTTCAGCTCATTGTTTTTGTATTATGGCCCAAAACATAACTATTTTGGTTTAGTCTCTCATCAGCTCAGTTTCCAGCCTCTGCAGGAAGTTGTTTTCAGTGAAAACCTCTGAAAACCCACTGTACACTACCTGCCAAGCACCAAACTGTGGACAGGCAAAGTTAGCAACTATCTGGTGAACATAGCGGACCATTTAGAAACGATACAGATACTACAGCCAGCTGAGAAAATAAATATGAGTTAGATTATGGTTACATGTTGCAACAAGAAACAACATGTACATCTGTGCTCTGGAGTTGTTTGTAGGTGTAGTTTTCTCTTTTGATGGAGCTATGCAAACAGTTTTTGTGCTAAACTCGGTTAATCCCGCCATGGCATGTCTATCTCTGTACTGGATGCAGATGAGATAAGGGTGATAATGATCATCTTACCATGCAAAGGTGGTAAACAAGTGTGTCAGACTGCCCCTTTAAATGCATCACCTCCCGCTGGTGTACAGTAATGTTTGTCTTGCATCTTTGTTGTAGCAGTATATTTAGAATGTGCCTTTTCTTAAAATATTCTTATAACAATGTAGTTCTTGGGTTGACACTGTGGCACTGTGGTAAGTTATTTTTGTCTTGGACCAGTATGGAAATTCTGTCACTATGTACCCGTTTCTTGTTGTCTTGGGTGTGTGCTGTAGCACTGTAGTTGGAACTTTTTATCGTAGTCAGCAGAACTCGCTTTCTGTCCTCAAGTAGAAAGTTCCAGATGTGTTGACTTTAGCAGCTGCTTCAGAGGTGCATGAGAGACAGAGAGAGTCAGGATGGAGGGTGGAGTGGGTGGAGGCCATAAATGGCAAAATGTGAAGAAGATTGACCCTGTCGATAGGGAGACACTGCTGTGTGTTCCTCTTCTTCCTCTCTCACTGGTGTTTCCCTGCTGCTGCGTGGGAGAGCGAGGGAACACTGGAGTGGTGTGTGTGTGTGTGTGTGTGTGTGTGTGTGTGTGTGTGTGTGTGTGTGTGCGCTCAAAGTAATGTGTGCGATATATATAAAACAGATAAAAAGCAACAACAGAAAAGCGAGAAACGAGGCAGGAAGGCATCTGTTAGAAAATATCTAATGATAGAAAAGAGCTGTGCAAGCTGTTTATGTGGGTTGCTACTATTCCATTCATATTCTTTTTACATTCTACACAATGTACTCCAAAAACTGACTGATGACATTCCCTCCACACTCTCTCCTATAGGGTGATTCAATCTCTTACACCTGTGGCTGCTGTTGCAAGAACATTTTGCACGAACCCACTGATTTTAAAGCTAAACGTAAAAATAGATTCAGACATATGTGGCTATTTTGTCCTCTGCAAAACAAGTTTTCTGGTGCTGAAAGGTTGACAGAATATGTGAACAGTTGTGTTATCATGCATGACACTAAACTCATATATTTATAGTGACATTGAAGTGTATAAATATTTTAAATGACGGGCAGTTAGCAGATTGGTCTGGTTCTTTGTAGGTTCCATCCGAGCAGCAGATGTGGGTGTGATTCGGGCACCCATAGCTATATGTTTTGGACTCGTCCACACCACAGAATTATGCTTTTTCTTTTTTTTTTAAAGGAATGGTTTGACATTTTGGGAAATACAGTTTTTCTCTTTCTTTCCGTGAATTAGACGAGAAGATAGATACGACTCTCATGTCTGTATGTATATGTAAATATGAAGCTTAGCTTAGCATAAAGACTGGAAACGGGGAGAAGCAGCTAGCCTGTCTCTGTCCAAAGGTAATGAAATCTAACTATGAACACCTGATTGACATGTTATATTTTGTATGTTTAAAGCTGCAGTAGGTAACTTTTATAAATTAACTTTTTGTGACATTTGCTGAAACGTTCACTGAATCTTGACAGTAGTACATGAGTCAGATGATCTGTGAAAAAATCTGATTCTTCTTGCTCGTTCTCGTGCTCCTAATGGCGTTTGCAAGAATCCACCGGGCCTGAATGAAAACAACCAATCAGAGCTGAGAAAGATAGTTGATTGTTGAGACTCATTCCCAGGTGGTCAAATACCGATGCTGGGAATGAGACTCAACAATCAAATATTTTCAAGCCACCAGCCGAAAGCGTCTTTCCATCTTTCTCTGCTC